ACTCATCCTCCCCTTTTTTACTGAATTCTAGCACATAATTGAATCGATAGGCAGGGACTATTCCAATGTTATAAATATTATAAAAATCTTTTCGTAAAGAGATTGGTGAACGGCTCAGGGCTCAATCAATTTCGCCATCGGTCAATCACCTTTGGTCTAAAAATCAATTCCACTCAGGAAGGTCAGTGCTTTTTCTTGAACCCACTGGACTTTTTTCATTTAGTAGTAAATTTAAACTATCATTTTTGTTTTCCAAGTCATTTTTTTCTCTTTTAATATCTTCATAATCACTATTGATGCAACATTCATTCAAGCAATTATTTTCTCCTGGCTCGTTTTGGAAAGTTTCTAATTGCTTTTTTATTTCTTCCAATTCACTCTGTAATTTAAATATCTTTCTATCCTTATCATCAGAATTAAAGTCACTATATTTTAATGACTCAGAAATGTCGGTTTCATCACTGACTTCCTGACTATGATAAGTTGTGGCAGAATGGTTATCACTTAATTCATCCAGTTTTTCTTGTAGTTGGTTATTTTCTTTTGACTTTTCTTCTACTTCTAGATTGTTGACCACTATTTTCTCATTTTTGGACTTGGTCTTCTGAGAAAGTTCTATCATTCTTTCCAAATTAGAAATTACGTCCACTAATTGACTAGGATTAATTTTTATTTTCTTCCCTAATTCTTGGGCAAAATTATTGTCTTGGCTTGTTCCTTGTTCGCTTTTTCAAATAGTTTCTTTTCATTTTCGAAGAGCCCGCTTTTCTGTCGGGTCGCCATCTTTCCCATAATTTTTGCTATAATCAGCGATTAACTCGGCTTGAAATTTTTCATCTCCTCTATAAGCCCCGGCTGAGAAAACATTATAAATCATACTTGTTTCTTTCAATCACTCTTGCTCTTTTGAAGTTAATCCTTCTAGTTTGGTCTCCCATTTGGTTGAATATTCTATTTGGTTTTTATACTTAATCTTACTTTTTTCTAATTCCTGGTATTTAATTTTTCAGTCTTGATTGGCTTGTTCTAAAGAAGTTTTTAATTCCGTTATTTTTGCTTCTTTAATTGGGCAAATTTTACACTCTTCTCCCGCTAGTTCTTGGGGAATAGTATTTTGAATGGAGAATTCTATTTCTAATTCGGCTTCTAATTCAGCGACTTTTTCTTTTAATTTAACCACTTCGTCATGAAAGTTGCTGCTTCTTTCCTCTTCTTTTTTCAGTTTCTCACTAAGTTCAATGTTTTTTTCCCTCGCTGTTTCGAACCGCCCAACAACTTCAACATTTTTCGCTTTTAGTCTATTAATTTCAGCACTAAATTTCAGCATTTCTTTTCGTTTTTCTATAACTAAGTTAGCAGCAGTTTCTTGGCTAGTGGCTAAGTCAGCCCTTGATTCAGTTAAATATGTCTTGGCTAGGGAAAGGTTGTATTCGGCTTCTGCTAATTGTTTATTGAGTTTATCTATTATTTGGGATCGGAGTTCATATCTTTCCTTTTGAAGAATTTGCTGCTCGTTTGTCGTTGATTGAAAGTTAGCAGGTACTTCTTGTTGAAGGTCATTTTGTTGCTCTTCTTCTAATTTATTTAATTTATCATTATTGGAAGTATAAGTTATATTCTTGCCATTCTCGGTCGTGGAATGGGAGTCACCGACACTGTCTTTTGAACTTTCAGAAACTGGGGAAGAAAAACCATTATTTTCCGATGTGGGTGAACTAACAAGAGGATTCTCGGTTATTGTGGTTATTGTCGGGCTAAGTCTTTTTTCTAGCGATGGTCTTCTAATATTTCCGGTATCTCCCGTGTTCCTTCGTGAGCCTGAACGATTTCGGCTCCGTCCGGCTGACAAAAGACTGCTTGAAGAATCGCTCCTCCTTAGTGAAGGATCCTGGGGACTTGGTTGGCTAGTTGTTTTTTGGTTTTGGTCTGATTCTGATGGAGTTTGTTTATCTTGCGAGGGCTTTTTTAATTCTTTAATTTTGGCTTTTAGGTCATCGATTTCATCATCTAGATCCTCAACTAGGTAAGCCAGTTCAAGATAAGTGTAATTTTGTTCTTCTCACCAAGGTTTTTTACGGAGAGAATTACCAATTGACTCACCTGGCTTAACATTAAGACTATTGTGCTGGCTGGAAGCCGGCGAAGGCGTTGTTAACTTTTCTTTACCAGCAAAAATTTCATAGACCCTTATCCTTTCTTGCAACGAAATATTTTCTTCGCTAAGTTCCTTTAATTTCTCCTTATACTCTTCTATTTTTTTTTCCTGAATTTCTTTTTCGGTTTGGTTGGCTTCAAGAAGTTGCCGAGCAGCCACTAATTCCTCTTTAATTTTTTTCTGCTCCTTCTCTTGTGTTACCCGAGTAGCATTTTCTGAGACAACTGTTTTTATTGTTGCTTGGGCTTCGGGATTAGCATAATTTTCTAAAACACCTTCTAATTTGGTAATCTCTGCTTGGAATTTTTTATTCTTGTCGTTAAGTTCGTTATTTTTTTTTAGTAATCGTTCTTTGGTTACTTCCAATTTTTCAACTTTTTGTTTTTCTTCTTCCAGTTCTCCTTCGATTAATCTTTTTTCACTTTCTTTTTGATTAGAAAGTTCAGTAGTTTTCACTACGGATTCTTTTAAAAGTTTATTAGTTACTTCTAAATCTCTTATTTGGTTTTCTAGTTCAGTAGTTTTTTCGTGTCATTCTTTGCGTTCAGTTTCAAAATCTCTAACATTTTTGTCTAGTTTTTTATTGCTATCAAATAATTCTTGATTTTCTTTATTTATTTTGCCTATTTCTGATTTTAGTGCTTCATTTTCAGTTTTAAGGGCTTCTGTGGCGGCACTTTTTTTCGCCTTTTTTGCTGCCAAGTATTTTTTTATTTCACCATCGTCAAAAAATAGACTTTTTAACAATTTTTCCTGTTCTTCATCATATTCTTCTCGACCTGCTTGGCTTTTTTTGCTTATTTCAGTTATTTTTCTTTCAATTATTTTAATGATTTGATTCATAGTTGTTGATATTATGTTAGGTTTGTTTGTGGCTTAAAAATTATTATTTTTGGTCCTTTTAATTTTCTTTGCTTTCTGTTAAAATCAAAGTTGGATTTTAAATTTGGGCTTTGGCAAGTTTCCTAATGGTTATAAAGTGTAAATTTAAGTGTTAATATTCGGCGGGGGTTTGGGGGAAAATTCTGTTTTAGCCCATAATTTTTGGGCTTCTCTTTGGCAATTCGGCAGCGGGAAAATTTTTTGTTTCTCTCTCTTAAACAAAAACGCTCCTCTTCCTCTGTTATTTTGGGAAAATCTTCAATTGTCTTTACTTCCAATTAAGTTTCTTAAATTTTTATTCATGATAACTCACTATATATTTTATACACATATGCTAGCAAGTATGTGTTAAAAAAAGTTAAACAGGAAGTTTGGCAGCAATTTTCCGACAGTTTTTTTATTTTTTCACGAGTTTTTTTTCCAACTCTCGGATTTTTTTGGCTTGGCGAGAATTCTCCTCAATTAACTTTAAAATGGTTTGGCGTCAGTCTTCTAAGTAATCACCCAACCCATCCTCGTCAAGGTTAATTCCTTTTTTTTCTAACCTAGTTCGAAATTCATCTTTTTCTAATTGCCTTTGCTGGGTTTTGTTTAGTGGTGAGGAGACTTTGCCTCCAAAATAAGCCCTAAAAGTTCTTCTTTTTTTGCTGTCCGTAATAGAGTCTAAGTAAACTAGTTTGTGGTGGCGATAGAGGTCAATTAAGCAAGCATCACATTTATATTGACCTTGATTTTTCTTTTGGTCGGTTCAGTAGCCTCAGTTGTTTTTGTTACTGTATTTTTGGCTCGGAGGACAAAAGTTAACTATCATCTTTTTTTGACACTGGAAGCAATTAGTTTGAAAAGGAGGTTTTAAGGTATACATGGGGTATATAATAACTTCTTTTTGAGAAAAAAGATGGAGGAAGTTCTAAAAACATACGAGGAATCTAAACAAATTTCGTGTAAAATGTAAAATTTTATATTATTATTCACTAAATAAATTTTAGTACTCAGCAATGTCAGAGTTTAGTAATGATAGTTTGATGTAACAAGGAGTGATACTCAAGTGGTTAAGAGGGTTTCCTGCTAAGAAACTAGGTTGGCCTAATAGTCAACGCGAGAGTTCGAATCTCTCTCACTCCGCCATTTTTATAATATAAAACATAATCATTGATGTCAAATTCATGAGTGAAATCTATATAAAATAATATTTGATACAAAACATCAAAAGAAAAAAGGGGGTTCATGGACTCCCCACGATAATAAAAATCTAAAATAATTAAATTTGCCAATAAAAGTATGAACAACAGAAACATAATCAAAAGAAACAATCAATATAAAGGACTAAAAAATTTGCAAAGAACACTGGATAATTTTTTTAACGATGTCTGATGACCAACGCCGGGGCTGAACGAAGTATGAGAGGAATTTCAACCACAAAGTAAACTGACCGAAGATAAAGACAAATACCTGTTAGAAATCAATTTGCCAGGAGTGAAATAAGGAGGACGTCAAGATTGAAGTAGAAGAAAATATTATCAGAGTCAGTGGCGAAAAGAAAGAAGAGAAAAAACAAGATGATGCTAAACAATATTATTCAGAAATTTTCTACGGAAAATTTTATCGGGAATTTGGGAATTTGCTCTCCCAACCTTGATTAAGAAAGAAAAAGTTAAGGCGAATTATGAGAATGGAGTATTGACTATAACCGTCCTCAAAGATTCTCAAAGCCATGCCCATCAAGTTAATATTGAGTAACGTGGCATCCCTGTTTAAAAAAATATTTATTAAATTAAAAAAGGGCAGGTCAGGCAGTTAGAGATTTTGCAAAAAAAAATTTAAGATAGTTACTAAAAGTTAAGAAATTCCACCATATTTTCTCGCAAATTCTCCATTTATCAGACTAGTTATCAGAAGAAAAAACATAACAAGGAGTATCATTTATTTGCTTGCACTTGTTCGCATTTGGCTTTGCCGGGTTTTTCTTGAAAATAAGTGGGAGCCTGAATTAAAAGCCGGGTTTTTAATTCTGTTTTGTCGGCAGTACAGTTAAAAATTAAAAAAAAAGTTATGACTTGATAATAATTGGCAGTCCTACTCAAACCAAGGCAGGAACTTTGGAAATTGCTAAAAAGATTGATTTGCTAGTCCAAACTGTGGGTGCCAGTAGCGAGTGAGTATTTGGGTCCCAGCAGTAATAGATTTGTGAAAAACAAGATAAATAAAATAAATGGAAACTAAAATAATCGTCCAAGGCAAAAAAAATCTGCGAGATTATGAAATTATTACTAAATTTTTGGCCGGACTAGTCCTAACAGGCAACGAAATTAAATCTCTCCGTAATTACCAGAGTTCGATTAATGAGGCTTACATTTTGCCTCATGATGGCGAATTATATATTGTTAATCTCCATATTTCTCCCTATAAATATTCCCGTGCTGGCAATTTAGCCCAAGACCAAAGTAGCAAAAAAAAAAGAAAATTACTTCTTCACAAAAAGGAAATCAATAAAATAATCGGACAGCACAAAAGCAAAAATTATGCGATTATTCCACTGCAACTTTTTATTAACCAACGTGGCTGGGCCAAGTTAGAAATTGCCTTGGCTCAGCATCTACGAAAATACCAAATCAAAGAAAAAATTAAAGAAAGAGAAATAAAAAGAAAACTGCGGGAAGAAGATGATTGATAAAGAATTTATAATGTTATAAAATATAAGAGTAATGTTAATTGTATTTGTAGGTATACCTGGATCGGGCAAATCAAGCACAGTTAAGGAGTTGGCAACTCTGTTAAATGCCAAGTATTTTGCCGAACCGGAGGAAAAAAAATGAGCGGATGCCGCAAAAGATTGGAAAACTTATGGCAGTTTTTCCATGCTGATGTGATTTCGCTCTATCCGAGTTCCCATGCTTTTGGAAGCCCAAAAATTAAGTGAAAATGGAGAAACTGTGCTTATTGATACTTACTATGATAAATTGCTATATTACTATATTGATAAATATTGTATGCGCTGATTAATATCCCCTTCGGACCTTTATTTTGAACCCATGAAAAAAATTGCCGAGATAGATAATAAAGTTCTGCCAGAAGCTGATATTATCATTTTTTTTGAAGTTGATTATCAGAAGTGGTTAGAAAACCTAAAAGTCCGCAATCGTGAGGTTGACCAAGACAAAGATTTTATGAAAAACTTCGAAACCCAAAAATTTCTTCGGGAAGCCACTCAAAAATATTGTGAAGAAAGAGGGAAAGAATTTATCATTTTCCCCCAAGATAATTCCTCAGCCCAAGAGGCAGCCCAAAAAATAAAAAATCTCTTGTGAGATAAATTAGCCGTAAAAAATTAAAATAATATATATTATAATTATGAAAAAAAATATTCACTCTCCGGTTTTTCAAATTACTTATTTCTGTACTTATTGCCAACAAGAATTTCTCACTGTTTCTACTTCTTCGGAAAATGTTAGAACTGGGCCGTGTAGTAATTGTCATCCCTTTTACACTGGTGTTGCCGACAGTGAAGTTGAAGTGGGAGAAATAGAAAAATACCGGCAAAGACAAAGAGTCGCCCAAGAGAAAGAAAAAAAATAAAGAAATAATTACTAAAACAAATATATTAATATATTATTATAAGGATATGCAAAAAAATATAAAAAATATAAATAAAATAATAGCCTTAACGAGAGAGAGAGAGAGAGAGAGAGAGCAATTAAACTGAATAGATTGAAAAGTAAGTTCACTGGAAAAGAAAAAGACAAGGAAAGACAAAAAATTGGGTAGGAAATTTTTATTCGACACCATAAATTATCAATAGCACCATGAACGCAAAACACCAAAAAGATTTAGTAAAATTATTTACCAATAAAGAAGAAAGAGAAAAATGAAATGATTATTTGGATAAGTTAAAAAGTGAGGAGGAAACGTCTTGACTAGAAAGTGACGAAAATGCGGTTGTGCATCTTCATGATTTATCCGTTAATGGCTATCTGCCTAGTGATGATGATAAACTTTCATTCTCAAAAGATGAGAATAAGGTATCTGTCTTCTACTATCCAGACTCGGAAATACTGATGTTAGGTGAGAGTTTTAATGCTTTTGAATGAAAAAAGAAGAGAGTAGATATATATTGACCTTTAAAAAGGGATTATCTTAATAAAATTGGGGAAAGTGAGCATTGAAAAAAAATAGTTGGGGATAGAGGAATAAGTTTTGAAGAAGGAGAAGATGTTAACCAAAAAATTGAAGAAACTATTGCAAGTACGGAATTAAATGAAGAAGATAGTGAAGAATTTATTGAAGAAATTAAAAATGAAGTTCGGCGGGAACTGGCTTATTTACGCACTTCTGACGAAAATAAATGACAAGATGATTTAATTACTGAGAAGACACGGGAGAAAATCTTTTTTGGTGAAAGGGAAAGGAGAGAATATAAATTAGAGGATGAAGACATTGAAAACTGCCACCAACTATTAACTAATATTCAAACTATTCTCACTAAAAAAGAGCCTAACATAAACAAGGAATTTTTAGCCGGTGAAGAATGGCAAAATTTAAATAACTCTTTAACTAATGTCTCTGATGATTTAAAAGAGATTATTAAAAATGCGGATTATGAACTTCTAGAAAAGGTTTCATTAGCAAGTAAATATTTTGGATACTGTATAATTGATGAGATTGAGGATTTAAAGGCCGCTCGTGAATTTTATAAAGAAAATAAACCATCAAGACTAGAAACTTTTCAAAAAACTGTCTTTGAAAACATTCATGGGGAAAATTGAGAAAGTACATTAACTAATAAATGAAAGAAAGTTAAATTGGCCGGCACTTTATGGAATTGGAAAGAAAAAGGGTATTTTGAGAATATTAAAACATTAGGGGAAGAAACCAAAGAAGAAATTAAAGATTGATGACAAGGTAAGGCTAAAAAATATAACACTGAGGAATGAGAGTGAGCGAAAAATAAAACCAAAATCACTCCGGGAAAAATTGAAGAATTAAAAAAGGCAGTAGGAGCAAGACGAAAGTGAGAAGTATTACAGGAAGAACTCATGAACCCTAGTATTACCTACGAGAAATTCAATCAAGTTTGGCGGGAAATGAAAAATGGATATCCTGAAATAATTAAACATAAAGATAACCAGTCATGAGTGAGGAACCGAGAAAAAGAACTTTTAAGTTTAGAACTTGATTGACTGTTTGAAAATGCAGTAGCTGAAAAGAAGACGATAGAAGAATTAGAAAATTATCGAAAAAGAATTGAATTATTTGAATCTGACTTTCTTAAAGAACCAACTACCTTCCGTGCCACAATTTGAAAAGAAAAAAATAGTGGGTCTGTCCCTTCTTCCCCTTTGGTCTCTGCTTTCAGTTCATTACTTGGAGCAGTAACAGGAAGTAGCAAAAAGGGCAAACTAGACGAAAAATTAAACAAATTAACCGAGAGAATAAAAACTTTAAAAAACTGAGAAAAAGAAGCGAATGAGGGCTTAACTGCTTTGAAAACAAAAGCAACTGAAGAAGTTTGAACGGCAACCGAACTAGCTGCTTTTCAGAATGAAATTGATGCTTATCCCCCTTGTCGAGAAGAAAAAATTGAAACGATATACTACCGAGACTTCCATCCAATTTATCGAAAAAAACTAACGATTAAAAAGCAATTGGAACAAATTAAAAACTTGGCTCAACAAAATGCCAATGAGTACCAAACAATTGAAAATGAAATTAATCGTATTTTAAACAAGGACATTACGAAAGATTATAACAAGCCGCTACCCTACACGGTTGAAAAACCAATAGGCGGTAGTTCGCCATCTTCTGGTCTAGATTTAAAAGATATTAAAGAGGATCTTAAAAAATTAAGAAAAATAACTCCTTTCAGTGAAGACCATCCAGCAGCATCGTTAGGTGGAGGAACGCTATCCCTAATTCACCAAAAAGTTTTTACCAATAATCGAGACCGCATATTAAAACGCTCGTTGTGATTGGAAAGGAATGAATATTTGGAGGAACTTGGCGAAGAATTAACTGACTTTGAGAAATCTTGCGTTGAAGCAAAGAAAACAAAGCCGGAACTAGAAAAATTAAAAAAAGATATTAAACATTGGAAAGAAGATATTTTTGTAGGTCTAGAAAAAGAAACTCGGCAGATATGGCAAAAATACTTTTATGATAATCGAAACACTTACTGAACGGGGGGGGGGGGGGATTGGACTCGTACAATTACAAGTATTAGCCGAAAAAAACTGACATAAATATTTTGACGAAGAAAAAAAATTAGAAAAATTAAAAGTTGGCTTTGTTTTAAAAGAATATGAATCAGCCACAGGACAAAAGGCAAGGGTGAATTGTTTGAATACAGATTACTTGGTTTTCCAAAGTTGGGACGACTTTTTTGGCAAACATAGTATTACTGATAAAAACGATTGAGCGATTTGGAAGAAAGATTTTGCTGATCCAAAAGAAGCGGAAAACTCATACACTAATGCTTTAAATGCTCTGGATGGTTTTCCATGAAGTTCTGAATTGTCAGAAGACGACAAGACCAAAATTAGCCAGGCGAAAAATCCGAAAGACATTGTGGCTCAGCAAAAAGAAGTAGCCTGAGACCAATTTTTCCGAGCTAATGGTATCAAGGGTGATGACGAAAAAAGGGCTTGAAAGGAAACAAGTGGTTTAAAAAATGTTGCCGAAGCCAAAATTGCTTACGGCAAAGGCTGGCGGAATTTAAGTGACACTAGTAAGTTTACTGAGTGAGAGGGGAGAGGAAAAGTTAAATATAAGTCAAACCGAGTTTCAACGACCGGAGTTGATTTAACTAAACATAGCCTGGTGGAAATGGATGAATATCACCAATTATTTTGCAATATTCATCTTGCTGATAATTTAGAGGCTTTGTGGGCTTTGAATATTCAAGGATACGATGAAAATCAAGTTCCTGCTATTTGTAGTCACTTAGTCACAGAGGAAAAATGAAAGGAGAAAGAAATGAAATTATTCAAAACTGCTTTTGAAGGGGACAAACCAAGCGGAATTACTGAAAACGCCGATTTTGAGGCTTGGTTAAAGGCTGGTTTAAACAAAGTTAAGGAAATTGAGGATTATGTACCAGGGGAAACTGAAAGAAAAATTTATGATTTGGGTTGAAAAGAACCCACGAAAATTATAAATGGTTATACTAAATATCAGGAAGAAATAACTTGTGATAAAAGCCAAGTAAAAATTGAACGAGACAATGTTCCGGTGTGAAAAGTTGACAAAGAACAATTAAAAATAGTTTTAGGTTGAACGGAAGAGGTTAAAAGAAAAATAAGCCCGCAAGACCTAGTTAATTTTATTACTAATGATTTTGTTCCAAAAATTAGTAGTTTAGAGGATGACTTACTACCTGACGGTTTGAAAGAAAATGATTTAGTTAGTTTTATAGGTGATAAATACAGAAATTTGAAATTTCAAGAGTTTAAGAATAATTTTCGAGGACATGGAGACGAGGCAGCAGGAGCCACCGACGAGGAAATTGAACTTTATTTTGAACTTGTTTTAGATGCTTCCAAAGAACCCTATTGACATTTAAGATTTTCTGAAGAAGATTCTGCTCGACTCTTTAATAATGGTTGAAAGGATATTAATGAGTTAAGAGGCAATTCGGATACGGGTATTACCGCGGAAATTAGAGGAAAAACATGCTTTAACCCAACAGAGAAAGCAACTACTTTTGATAAAGGAGGAAAAAGAGAGAAATTTGAAGAATGAGTTTGAAATACGGAATTTTGGAATGGTGATTATGATTCATTAGGAAATGATGAAACATTAGAATATCGAAAATCTTTCCTCACTATTTTTCTTCCGGCTAGCGTTGCTCGGAAAGTTTTTAATAAAAACTGAGACGCCAGTCAATTTGATTGAAAAAATGGTATCGATGTTATTGTTTCTAACTACAATTCTCACGGCCAAGATGATATTAATTTAGACGCAACCGTAATTGACCGAAAAGAATTGGATAAAGTAAACGAAATATTATTCGAGATAAAGGAGGCAACTAATTCGAATAATTTGCCTTCTGATAAAAAAATAGGTAGTTATGACGAAAAGCAAGTTCCTCCCTCAAAAAGTCATGACCGAGTTAAAACCTTGCGAAATAATAGAAAGATACAATTAGAACAAAGCACTGCGAACCAGCAGGCTCGTTCTGCTGCTATTCAAGCCGTTAACGATTGATGAAATAATGCAGGAATGAGCGGAGGTGTAGAAACAATTTGCGGAAATGATTGAAAAAAGAAATTTAATAATCTCCAAGGGGCGGACATTACTAACGAAGAAAATCGACTCAAAAATTTAATCAGTCAAGCCAAAGTTAAACCAGATATTGAAGCAATTGAAAACGAATTGAATAAAAAACCACTTATTTCGGCTAGTGAACTTCAAAATCTGGATTATAAAGGTAAAATGATTAATTTAGCCGCAGCCACTGACGCACAAAGAAACAGCAAAAAAAATGAGATAATTACCGAAATTACTCAACTTAGAGAAAGCAAGTTAGCACCAGTTCGGGAAATAATTACTAACGCTCAAAACGTTTTGAATAAAGACAGTGTAACCAAAGAGGAATTAAAAAAGGTTATTACTGACTTAAAAGTTATTGCGAGTACTTCAAGTGATAGTAACGAGCAAATAATCTGAGAGGAAAAGAAAGCAGAAAACCAAAAATTATTAACTGATTTGGAAGATAAATTAAGCAAAATTATTCCTCCGGAACCCGAGAAAGAAGGACCAAAAACTCCGGAAAGTCCTCCTCCCCCACCTCCTCCGAATCCGGAACCGGAAGAAGAGGAAAAATTTGGGGAAGACTATGCTGAACTAAAAGCGACTCAACAAGCAGGACGACGAAAGATTGTGGAAAATTGGAAAAAAGAAGAAAATTATGAACGTAGCAAAATTTGCTGTTATTGTTCGCAAGAGTTTCATTATGATAAAAATTTAGAATATTTGCTGGCTAAACAAAAGGCAGAAAAAGAATTATCAGAACACGAGGCCGCTTGTTCGTTTAAGAACAAGCCCGAGGAAGCAAAAAATGTTAAGCAAAATAATTGGCAGAAAGTTAAAAATACCAAAAACCGCTATTTTTATGCTTGCCGAAAATGCTGAGGTAAAATTGAATTAGATAAAAGTATCGCTGACTGAGAAGAAGCTAAAAAACAAGGTCGTGCCGATGTGGCTTATCACGAAGAACATGAGTGTGGCAATGAGGAAACGAAAAAAATTGCTATCTACTTTTCCCCTAACCAAGGAGGAAACAAGCATGCTGATTTAACTTATGCTGACAAAATTCAAGAAGATGAATTATTTTTGGAAAAAGATAATCAGGGTGAGATTTATCAAGAACATGAATATGAAAATAATAAGAATAAGGGAACTGATTGAACTCCGTGAATAGTTGGAATGAGTGTAATTTTAGTGGTAGGAGTGATTATTGTTTGATTGGTTAATAAGAGAAAGAAAGTGAGAAAATAATATTAAAATGTTTACCAAATCAGAAGATTATCATTTTTTATTAAAAAAAAAATTATGTGCTTTGTTAGAAATTATTTCAATTACTCTCTTCAGGATTCATTTTTTCTTTCAAGACTAAACTGTGAGGGTCATGTTCTCCTTACAATTAAATTCAAGTGTAATAATCATTCAATTATTTCTAATACTCCTAAATTATCTTTTTTCTCTTAGAATATTAGATAGTTAAAATATATAATAGTAAAACAAAATTAAAGAAAGTTAGTTCCTAGGTGAAATTTAAGTCTAGGAATTAACGGGGTTTTAGCAAAAAAACTTCTGTTTGTTTTAAACTTCAAGACTTCAAGTTAAGAGAAAAATCAAAAAAACGAACAGAAAATGAATACTTTCAGAAAAGTAAAAAATAAAATAAACGCTTTATGCCTTTAATACCTTGAGAATATATCGAAAAATATCTTATTTTACCACCAATCACTCTATCACAGGTTGAGGAAAAATTGAACTACTATGGTCTAGAAACTAAGTTAATTAAGCAAAATAATAATTTCTATTTAGACATTAATACTTTTCCTAACCGCCCCGATTTATTATCGTGATGAGGAGTTATCCGAGAAATAGGAATTCTATTGAATTGCCGCAATAAACTTCCTCGCCGTTTGTTAGCAGAAGAGAACAAAAAAAAATGATGCAAATTAGCAATTACCGGAACTAATAAATGCTATGAATTACATTTAGGTTTGCTAAAAAATGTCGAAATTAAAGAAAGTTTGCCGTGAATAAAAGAATGGTTAAAAATTAATGGTTTTGACTCTATTAATAATATAGTAGACATTGCTAATTTAGTAATGCTTGAAACCGGGCATCCCCTTCACATTTTCGATTATGATGCTTTGCCGAAAAAACAAAAAACTAATCAAATCCTAATTCGCCGAGCCGATGAGGGGGAAAAATTTATTACTTTAAACCAACAAAAATTAATCCTTGATTCGGAAGATTTAGTGATAAGTGTTGGAGGAAAAGCGTTTGAATTAGCCGGAATTATTGGTAATCAAGAAACAGTTGTAAACACCCAAACCAGAAATATCCTTATCGAGTGTGCCTCTTATGACTCAGAAGCAATTAAAGAAACGGTGACAAGATTAAATATTTTTTCGCGAACTAGCCAATATTTTAGCCGAGGAACTAATTTAGTTTCTTCTCCTTTCCAAACTTTACAACATACTATTGATTTTATTACTCAATTATACGGAGGAGATCCAGCAGCCGGAATAGTTTCTTCTTACCGAAAGAAAAAGAAAAATCCCCTAATAATTGCTATTAGTCCCAGATTTATCACTGAGAAAATTGGGCAATTTATCCCTCCCAAAACTATTGAAACTATTTGAAAGCAATTAGGTTTTCGCTGGCAAAGAAAAGGGAAAATTTACTACCTCACCCCCCCTTCTTATCGCCCCGATGTTACAAGTGCCGAGGATTTATTAGAAGAATTATTAAAAATTTATGATTATAATGAAATAAATAGTTCTTTGCTCTATTCTAAATCCCTCCTTTTCAATAATGTTAAAGAAAGAGAAAAGCAAAAAGAAAAAATCCGCACTTATTTAGCCAATTACGGCTGACAAGAAATTATTACTTATTCACTTATTTCGCCAGCCATGAAAAAACAAGAAAAGGATGATTCTTTTTACCAACTACTAACACCCAAAAGCGAAAACCACAAATATTACCGTTCTACTCTTATCCCTAGCCACTTAGAAGCAATTAATTATAATCTCATTCATGGCAATAAAAATTTATTTTTTTTTGAAATTAGCTCTATCTACATTCTTTCTCAGCCCGAAGAATTACTTACTTTAAGCGGAGTAGGGAAACTAATTAATCAGCCTCTTTACCAGCTAGACCAAGAAAACGATTTTTATTGATTAAAAGGATTTCTCGAAAATATTTTTTTTCTATGCGGAATAGGTGAAGATATTGATTTTTCTCCCGCTGCCTCTAATTTAGATTTTCCATTCCTAACCGAAATTTCTCTTGCTAAGGAAAAAATTGGTTTTTTGGGTCAGGTAAAGCAAAAAAAGGATATATTTGTAACTCAAATTTCTCTGACTAAGATTTTTGCTTTTTTGACTAAGTATCCGCGACTAAACACTTATAAGCCTATTTCTAACTTTCCAATTAGCGAAAAAGATTTATCTTTTTTCTTCCCCGCTGATATTAATTATTTAGCAGTTATTAAAGAAATGAAAAAGACAGGCGGAGATAAACTAATCGAAGCCAAAGTATTTGATATTTACCAAAATACTGAACTGGAAAAAAAAGGCAAAAAATCAGTGAGTTTCCGTTTAGTTTTCCAAAATCCTACTCGAACACTGGAAAGCCAGGAAATAGAAAAAAAAATTAAAAATATCAGCCAGAAAATCGAAAATTTATTCGCAGCGGAATTGCGAGATTAACTTTATCCCTAATGGCTTCGCTTGGAAGTATGGTGTCTCATAGCAAACGACCAAGCATTAGATACTTCAACCTTATTAATTATTACTAAAAGCAGGAATTTTTTTATTTACTAGGGACTGTTTTTGGCTAATTTGAATAAAATTATGTTTATAATGACTTTTCTTGCCTTTGGTAATCATACAGTAAAAAACATAATTGGTTCTCCTTATTTCACTTTTAAAAAAATTCTTTTGCGGGAGGAATACCAAAAAGATAAAAAATTATTAAAACTATTAGAGGAAAAACAAATGGTCTACCAAATTTTGGATAGTGAACAATTTTCTCGCCATGGTTTTCCTAAAAAAAACCAAGGGGTAGTGGCTTTTATTCGTGACTATACTTACGTTTCTTTGTCTTCTTTGCTAAGTCACCAACCTCAACGCCAATATCCTCTGCTAGTTATGTTAGATAGCATTGAAGACCCTCATAATTTTGGAGCAATTTTGCGAACCTGTGCGGCTTTAAAAATTGATGGAATAATCATTAGCAAAAAAAACCAAGTTCCGGTTAACAATACTGTCATTAAAGTTTCCATGGGGGGAGTAGCTTGGGTACCAGTTTGTCAAGTAAATAGTTTAAATGAAGTTCTTAATGAATTAAAAAAAAGAGATTACAAGATTGTGGCAACTATTTGCCAAAAAAGTGCTACGGAATATAATAAATTAAGTTTTAATTTTCCCACCTGTCTAATCTTTGGCAACGAACACGAAGGTATTAAAGCCAATTTGCTAAAAAAAAGTGATTATTCCCTTTACATTCCGGTAAGTAATAATATTGGTTCCTTAAATGTCTCAGTAAGTTGCGGAATTATTTTATCCCAAGCAATTTTGGGAATATAAAAGAGCAAAAATTCTTCAAGGATGCCAATTAGAGAATAATTAACTTTAAAAATATGATTTTTTTAAATGCAGAAAGTAATTATTAAGAATACTTTTATCATAATAAGCAAATATTTTATAATCCCAAGCAACCTCGTTTTTATTCACCAAGCAAGATTTTTTCCTCTTTTAATATTTTTTCTAAAGTTTCTTTGGGAACTTCTTGGTAATGAGATAAATGCATTGAATAAGTACCCCGACCTTTGGTTAGTTGGCGCAGGATAGTAGAGTAATTAAGTATTTCCTTTAAAGGAATTTTGCCATCTATATAAGTATTATCTTCCTCTTCTTTGGTATTTTCAATGGTAGCACGGCGGGAGCCAAGGTTAGCAAGAATATCTCCCATATAATCTTTAGGAACTATTACTTGTAATTGCATAATTGGTTCTAACAAAACTAATCCTAACTTTTCTTTATTTTCTCGGAAAGCTAAAACCGCCGCATTTTTGAAATCACCTGGCTGGGTGTCTACCTCATGCCTTTTTCCCCCAAGCAAAGTGGCTTTGACATCAAGCAAGGGATAGTTCAGGAGCAAACCAGATGACATGGCTTCTTCTAATCCTTCTTTTACTTCTTCGGCATCTTTGCTAGACATATCTTGACCCTTCTTAGCATCCACAAACTCAAATCCTTTTCCTTTGTTTGGTTCAAAAGTGATCCAAATTCTAGCATCATGACCTCTTCCGCCAGTCTTTTTTTTATATCACGCTTCTAAATTTTCCACTTTTTTAGTAATAGTTTCCCGGTAAGATACCTTAGGAGGTTTGCTTTCAATATCTAATTTATACTCTCTCCTTAGTCTTTCCATAGAAACTTCGAGGTGTAATTCTCCCATACCAGCAATAATCATTTGACCTGTTTCCTTATCTATCCAATATTTAAAACTGGGGTCTTGGACTTTTAATTTTTCTAAGGCTTCTCGTAATTTGTCTTTGTCTTTGTTAGTTCTCGGTTCGATAGCCTGGGAAATTACTGGTTCAGCAAAATTAATTGTTTCAAGCAACAAAGGATTTTTTTCATCACTAAATGTATCACCAGTAATGGTATGTTCTAAATTTATGGCAGCAGCAATATCTCCCGCTCCCACTTCTTTAATTTTTTCTTTATCATTGGCATGTACTCTTACTAATTGGCTAATTCTTTCTTTTTTGTCTTGGTTAACGTTATATATGTAAGAATTTGCTAATATCTTGCCAGCGTAAACCCGAAAAAAAGTTAATGTGTTATTATATTTATCAACGGTGATTTTGAAAGCCAAAGCCAAGCAAGATAAAGGACTATTACAATTAACTTTTCCTGCTTTGTTTTTATCTCGTAACGAAAAAACGGGTATTTCTGCCATATCCAAAGGGGAAGGTAAATAATCTACTACTCCATTTAAAACCAACTTCACACCCACATATTTATAGGCCGAACCACAAAAAACTGGGAAATGTTTACCAGTTAAGGTAGCTTGACGAAGTAATTTTTTTATTTCTTCCACTGATAATTGTTCGCCTTCTAAATATTTTAAGGCTAACTTCTCATCATGTTCGATTATTTTTTCTATTAGTTCTCGGCGATATTGCTTAGCTTTTTCTAATAAATTTGTTGGAATGTCTTTTATTTGATATTTTTCTTCCTTATCACCCATTTGACAGTAATAAGCTTTTTGTTCTATTATGTCTACCACTCCTTCTAGTTCCCGACCAGCCCCAATTGGAAACTGAACTGGGAGAGGGATAGTATGGAGTTTTTCCCGAATGCTTTTTAAATTTTCATCAAATTTTTCCACATTATCAACCCCGTCCATTTTGTTAATAAAGATTAACCGCGGGATTTTATATTTTTTGGCCTGTCGCCAAACAGTTTCGGTTTGGGCTTCAACACCTTTTTTGCCATCCAGCACTACTATTCCGCCGTCTAAAACTCGCAATGACCTTTCCACCTCGGCTGTGAAATCGACGTGCCCGGGGGTATCAATAATATTTATTTGGTGCCCTTGCCAGTAAACAGTAGTAGCCGCTGATTGAATAGTAATCCCTCGCTCTTGCTCTTGGTCCATAAAATCCATCTGGGCTTTCCCCTCGTGAACTTCCCCCATTTTATGAATTTTTCCACTATGGTAAAGTATGCGTTCAGTAGTAGTAGTTTTTCCCGCATCAATGTGAGCCATAATTCCGATATTACGAATATTTGCTAACTTTTTTCCTTCTGGCATACTTTGTTATTTACGATTTAAGAAAGAAGCAAAAGACATATTAGCCTCTCCTTCTTTAAGCACATTTTCTTTCTTTTTAATAACTTCACCAACTTTATTATTAGTGTCAATTATTATTTCAGCCAATTTTTCTGGCATGGTTTTAGCAGATGCTTTCTCATCTGCGACTTTTACTATTGAACTTAAAGCCTTTTTTTCATCTCTCTCTTCCTCGATTGGTTTGGGAACACGATAATTACCTCCCCCAATCTTAATCCTCTTCATTTCTATGCCAATTTTTGCGTTTTCTACCGCTCCCTTCAAAACAGTTAAAAAAGGCAGAGAAATTTTTTTTTCGACTATTTCAGCTGCTCGGTAAACTATTTTTTTAGCTTTTCTCTTTTCCCCGTCTTTCATTACTTTATTGATTAATTTAGTAACGACCGGTGAAGAATACTTTTCATCTGGTTTTACTGGATGTTTTTTGATTATTTTTTTTTTTCGCATTTTTCACTAAGGATAATAATATTAGTTTATAAGATTATAAGAGTTTATAAGTTAGTTTATAAAAAAGATGACTTTGCCCCCGTGGTTTTGGGCTAAGGCTTCCCGGTGGGTTAACAAGCCCGCAGGAGTAGAAAGCAAATAAAGACCCCGCCCTCGACATTTTTTTTTAATTTCTTCTACCGCTCAGTGAATATGCTGAGTTGGTTTTGAGAAGATTTTTATTTGGTGAATATGACTATAATTATTGAAATATTTAATATCAGTTTTGATTTTTCTCTTCTTTTCATCAATTCAACACTGGGTAAAAAAGTCATTATCTTTTAATTTTTGACAAATTCTTCATTTATAAGAAGAGTAAGGGAAGGCAACAGTGCGATAGCCCCGTAAGTTAGCATTACGGATACTAACTAACATATTAGCAACTGGGTCGGTGAAGGTCATATTTGGTTCATTTTTGGTTCTTGCAACAATATTTAACATACTCCCCAATTATTTGGAAGCAATTATTATCTCAGGTGTTTACCATATATTATTTCATTTTAATATTTTCCGTGCTTTTTAAGTCCCACTCTCGCATAAGGGTTACGATAATAAAAACTTACAAAACACTCAGGATCATTTTTTTCTAGTTTTCTGATTCCTCCTAATATTTCGGGTTGTCAAGGAATATAAACGGAGACACTAATAATTTGTTTTTCTAAATAAATTATAAAAAGAGTAGTTTTCGGATCAACTTTTTGCCCTTCTTTTACTCTACACTCGAAAATTTTCTCGGTGGGTACGGGGTTTTTTCGGTCGATTTGAATATCTAAAAGCACTTGTAGTCCGCGTTTATTGGTAATTTGAATTGCGTAATTAGGGTAAATTTTGGAAATAACACCATTAAGGGGGCTTTTAACTTTCCAATTTTTCAAAAAGCAGAAATGGTAGGCTCTTCCGACTAATGAATTTTTCTTGCCTTTAATAATTCAACATTTAACTGGAGGTGCAAGGGATTGTGTCTTTCTTATTAATCAAAAAAAGAAAAATTTTATTTTTTTTCAATCAATTCAGGGTCTCATTTCTACTAATTTAGGTTAAATTAATTTTCTCATTTTGTTGCGAATAAGACATTAGAGAAAATGATTTTTCCTGAAAAAGACAAAGATTTTGGCAATAATTTATTTTTCTACTCGAACTTCTATTCAGAAAATTATTTATAAAATCTCTCATGCTTCTAAAAATCTGATTTTGAACTAAGCGAATTTTTAAGCGTTTACACAATATTCTTACCCTTT